TTCCTGATTTTAAACCATTCAGTATCCCCTTGTTCCTTTCAAACCACAGCCTCCTGGTCTATGTGCAGGTTCCTTATGAACACAATTGATTTTTCTGGAATTCCCATTCTTCTCAATGTTATCCATAATTTGTTATGATCCACATAGTCTAATGCTTTTGCGTAGTCAATGAAAGACAAGCAAACATCTTTCTTGTTTTCTTTGTTTTCAGCCAAGATCCATCTGCAAGATGGATGCAAGATCCATCCATCAGCAATGATATCCCTCAGTCCACATCCTCTTTGGAAACCAGCTTGCATTTCTGGAAGTTCCTTGTCAATATACTGCTGCAACCATTTTTTAACTATCATCAAGATTTTACTTGCATGTGATATTAATGATATTGTTCAATGATTTCCACATTCTGTTGTTGGATCATCTTTCTTTTGAATGGATGCAAATATGGATCTCTTTTAGTCATTTGGCCAGTCAACTGGTTTCCAAATTTCTTAGCATAGACAAATAAGTGCCTCCAGCATGTCATCCATTTGTTCAGATATCTCAATGGGTATTCCATCAATTCCTGGAGCCTTGGGTTTTTTATTTTATTTTATTCCAATTTCTAGCTTCAACTTCTTCCTTTAGTCCCATCAGTTGTCAGTCATATGCCACCTCTTGAAATGGATGAACACTGACCAATTCTTCTTGGTACAGTAACGTGTATTCCTTCCATCTTCTTTTGATGTTTCCTGCATCATTCAATATTTTATACATAGAATCTTTCAATATTGCAACTCGAGACTTGAATTTTTTCTTCAGATCTTTCAGCATGAGAAATGCTGAATGTTCTTCTCTTTTGGTTTTCTAACTCCATGTCTTTGCATACTCTTTGAATATTTCAGTATAATAATCGACTTTGTCTTCTCTAGCTGCTCTTTGAAATCTTCTGTTCAGCTCTTTTATCCTGTCATCTCTTCCATTTGCTTTAACTTCTCTCTGTTCAAGAGCAAGTTTCAGAGTCTCTCTGGCATTCATTTTGGTATTTTCTTCCTTCCCTGTCTTTTTACTGACCTTTTGCTTTCTTCAAGTATGATGTTCTTGATGTCATCCTACAATTCATCTGGTTATGGGATGCATATGAATCTATTGAAAATACCATGGCTTGCATCAGATACACCTTAGTCTTCAAAGTGATATCATTACTTTTGAATGATTTAAAAAGACCATTTGGAGCAGATTTGCCCAATGCAATATGTCATTTAATTCTTTGATGGCTGTTTCCATGAGTATTGATTGTGGATCTAAGTAAAATGACATCCTTGACAAATTCAGTCTTTTCTCCATTTATTATGATTTTGTTTATTGGTCCAATTATGAGGATTATTGTTTTCTTTATGTTGAGCTGTAATCCATCCTGAAGGTGTAGTCTTTGATGTTCATCAGTAAGTACTTCAGGTCTTCTTCATTTTCAGCAAGCAAGGTTGTGTCATCTGCATGTTGCAGCTTTCTAATGAGTCTTCCTCCAATCCTGATACCATGTTCTTCTTCATGTAGTACAGCTTCTTGGATTATTTGCTCAGCATACAGATTGAATAAGTATGGTGAAAGGATACGACCGTCATGTACATTTTCCTGATTTAAAACCATGCAGTATTCCCTTGTTCTCTTTATATGACTGTCTCTTTGTCTATGTGCAGGTTCTGCATGAGCACAATTAAGTGTTCTGGAATTCCCATTCTTTGCAATGTTATCCATAATTTATTATGTTCCACTTAGTTGAATATCTTCACATAGTCAATACAACACAGGTATATTTCTTTCTAGTATTCTCTGCTTTCTGCCAAGATCCATCTGATGTCAGCAATGGTATTCCCCATCCTACATCCTCTTCTGAATCCAACTGGACTTTCTGGCAGTTCTGGCAGTTCTCTGTAATTGTACTGCTGGAATTCCTTTTTAATTATCTTCAGCAAAACTTTACTTGCATGTGATATTAATGCTATTTTTCAATAATTCCCACATTCTAGTGGATCACCTTTATTTGGAATGGTCACAAATATACAGTATCTCTTCCAGTCAATTGGCCAGGTAGCAGTCTACCAAATTTCTTGGCATAGACAAGTGAGCACCTCCAGCACTGCATCCCTTTGTCGAAACATTTCTATCAGTCATGTCCTTCTTCCTAATCTGGAAGCTCCCCTGAAAACTGTCCACCATAGGTGACCCTGCTGGTATTTGAAATACCATTGGCATAGTTTCCAGCATCACACCAATATGTAAGACACCACAGTACAACAAACTGACAGACAAGTGGTAGATGTCTGTGTGTGTGTGTGTGTGTGTGTGTGTGTGAGTTCTGGTAGTGTAATGCCTAAGGCACTTGACTGCTAACCAGAAGGCTGGCAGTTAAAACCCGCCAGCCACTCCTCGGAAGGAAGGTTGGGCAATCTACTTCCATAGTGATACCACCTCGGAAACCCAAGGAGGGGTCGCTATGAGTTGGTTCCAACTCAACGGCACATCACAACAACAAATATATATATATATACATATAGAGAGAGAGAGAGAGAGAGAGAGAGAGAGATTTCACTGGTTTTGCTCCTCTAGACAATCCAGCCTAAGACATGGACCCAGGGATTAAAATATGTGGGAGAAGTTCAGAATTCATCCAAATTAAAAGAGCAAACCAAAAGTGATTGAGAGCTTGAGACCATTGAAATCTGCTCAAATCTTGGCCTTGGATATCACCCAGGTTGCAGATGTGGCTCAATAAATGACATGTGATTATCACCAACACACACAAAAAAACTCACTGCCAATGAGGTGTTTCTGACTCATAGCAATCCCCATTGGGTTCCTGAGGCTGTAAATCTTTACAGAAGTAGATTGCCCCATCTTTCTTCCATAGAGCAGCAGGTGGGTTTGAACCACTGACCTTCCAGTTAGCAGTCAAGTGGCTTATCCACTATGCCACACAAAACAGGGTGAAAATCATAAGCTTTTAGTAAAATAACAAATCTGATCACAACTGAGATTGATTTGCCCCATGCAGTGTAGTAAATTACATACTGTGGCTTTTCTAGCCATAAGTCTTTGTAAATTCCATGGTGGAATTTACCATGAGTAACTGAGTGGCTTCTGATTGTTAAAGTTATCCACCTGGGTTATTTCTGTTGGGAGAAGGACAAAATAATTTTCTGGGAAGTTTGCTCTCTGTCAGGTGTATAGAATTCTGATGTTGGGATTGATTAGTTTGGCCATTCTGGAAGGCTCAAAAGGAGCCCTCATAGAGGCAGAAATAATCTCTTACTGCCAGCTGGGAGATGTGAGAGACACGCATTGCTGAGAGAGAGAGATGTGAGAGACATGCATTGTTGAGAGACTGAGAGACACCAAGAGACATGCACTGCTGGAGGAGAGACACAGAGAGACTGTCAACTGAGAGATGGTGGGCTGAGAGAGACTGAGAGTGTTCCTGAATTTGAATTGTAGGAGAGACTGAGTGTGTTCCTGAACTTGAATTGTAGCCTATTGCTTCCCTAATAAACCTCATAATCTATGAGTTCTGTGTAGCCACTGCAGTGAATTATCAAACTCAGCAGAGAGGTGGTGGGTGCTGTGGGAAGAACAGTTGGTGTCAGGGTTGGTGAAAGGACTGGAGGGAGTGGCATGCCTGGCCTCGCAGGAATAGACATTGAGCTACTGATGGTGATTCTGCCTTCCTCTTGTGGGGTTAGAGGAGGTCAGAACATGTGGCCTCCATGCCCCTTTGGCACCCCACCTGCTCACTGGTTCTCATTCTGGAGCAGGAGAGGAAGAGGAGCCCTTTCCTTTCTGTTCAGTGATGTGCTGGAGGAGTTCCACTTCCTGGAAATGATGGAGTAGCGTGATCAGTCTCCTTCCCACAGATAACAATGAATAAACTTGGACAAATTATTACTGAGAAAACAATTTATGGAAGAGACTGGAGAGTGACCCCAAACAAACAGATCCTGGAAGGGAATACCTGTACAGAAGGAACTGCAAAGGATGAGTTTATTCAGATCTAAAATGTAGGAGCTCTGGTGGCATAGTGCCTAAGGCATTTGACTGGTAACTAGAAAGTATAGTAACTAATATATACATAAGGAGCTCTGGGGTATAGTGGTTAAAGTATTTGGCTGCTAACCAAAAGGCTGTTAGTTAAAACCCCCCAGTCACTCTGTGGATGAAAGATGAAGCAGTCTACTTCTGTAAAGATTTACAGCCCTGGAAACCCAGTGGGGGTAGCTATGAGTTGCAATCAATTTGATGGCAGTTAGTTTTGAGATTTTTGAATTTATATTTAGAGTTTACTTTATTCCTAGAACTCTACTAAGCAATTTAAAGTCATCTTGTTTGTCTTTTCTTATAGCCATAAGAAAAGGCTGAAACAGAGAGGTTAAGTAACTAGCTCAAGATAACACAGCTGTGAAATGATAGAAGTGTGAACCTAATTTAGATAGGCTTAATTAAAGAGCTCATACTCTGAAACACTTCATTGTACTGTCTCTGATAGCTTAGCACAGTAGCAGATGTTTCTCAGGCAATCCTCCAGTTCTGAACCTGGGAGTGCAATGACTGAAATTGTACAACATATATTGTTTCTATCAATAATTTAACTTCTATTGTAGGCAGTAATGTGACTTTCTTTTAACAAGCCCACCATGCCAAATTCCTCCAAATAATTTCTATTGCATTTAAAATCCACTTAAGAGACTGTTTGCTGCTGAAATTTAAATCATTTAATGCATCTTCAAGAACAGTGATTATTATTAGTAATTAAGGCCAGAATAGAAATTCTTCTTAACCACAATCACCCTATCCCCCTTCTCATTTCCACTTCCCATCAATCAATCCATTCTCCTCATGTTCTCCAGTCCCCCATTCCCATAAAAAAGCACCTCAACACTGAGTATGAGGAAATCAATTTATCTTTCAAAGCACACTGTGGACCTATGCAGTGCAGCAAAGGTCAAGGAGGGCCTGAGGGGTGTGCTTCCTCAGGCTGGGAACTCACAGACTGCCACAAAGGAGGAAGAACAGGAGATGTCATTCCATTTGCCATCCTTCAGGAGAATCACACAGTCTTCTGCAGAGTCACTGTCATTGGGCTCACCACTATTCCAGTTTACGTAGGTCAGTCTCTTTCCTGTGAGATCCACAAACTGTCCTTCAGTTGCCTCATCAGTGATGCCCAGGAAGGTCTCCTCCTTGGCCACTTTTTGGATAGCTGTGTTCTCCTCAGCATTCATGGGAGTGGCCACAGTGGCCTGGTACTTGGCACACAGAGCCTTCACTCTTTTAAACGTCATCTTTTCACCACTGCTCAAGAAGAACTTCTTCCCAACCTTTCTGCCCAGGGAGAAAGTTAGCCCTGAAATGTGAAAAAGTAGGTGACATTGGCTTGTCTTTATATCTATCCTAAGGTTTTCTCTGGGTACAGGTCTCTAGGGTAGGGTTGCCATATAAAGTATAGTATGTTCACCTGTGATGATGGGCTCAAGTATAGCAGGGATTGTGGTGGGGCTGGCACGGGATCAGGCAGTGTTTCGTTCTGCTGTGCATGGGGTCGCCATGAGTCCAAAACGACTCGACGGCACTTAACAACAACAACAACAACATGTTCGCTTAAATTTGAATTTCAGATGAGGAATTTTCTTTAGTATAAATATGTTCCATGCAATATTTGTGACATACTTACACACACACAAAAAAAAAACCATTGTTTACTTGAAATTTAAGTGGGTGTTCTGCATTTTTATATGTTAAATCTGCAAAATTACTATGGAGAGACAGATTGGCAGAAAAATCATTGTGCTTTTGGATAAGAATTTTAAAATGCACATAATTGAGACTTCACTATCAACTTAAGACAGAAGAAAAACATCTGCAAACATTTGCTTCGGGCCAGAGCCCAGGTAACAAAGGGTTTTGGGTGCCATTTGCAGTGACCAGAGAGCGCAGTATACAGGATCTGCCACCTTTAAGCTCTGTGCATTTGAGAAATTTAATAACCTCAGTTTGCCTTCATTTCCACTACAAAGGTGGCTGTGAAGATTTCACGAGACAAAAGGAATTTCATGAGAAATTCCTATCCAGGAACAAGAAAATTATATGCCTTCTGTAGGTATTTGTTGCCTTCCCAAACCCAAAATTGTCTGAAGAATAAGAGAGCAGGCTTACACTTTTTGATACGGTCCAGTTCTGATTGCAGAGCTTGTCTTTCTGAAGCAGCCAGGCTACTATCATAGTCTAGAAAAGTAAAGCAGGGTGTTGAAGTGTTATTGAGAAACGGTCCCAGAGTGATGCTTCTGTGAGTATGGGCTATGCTTTTAAAAAAAAAAAAAAAGATTCTTCTCCATTAATACAGTAAATCCTGGGGTTAAGAATGTCCAAATTGTGGACAACTTGTTCTTAAGAATGGACTGCCATAAAGCCTATTGAATTAAAAATTTGAGTTAAATACGATAGCTCATAATAATAAATGCATGCACTACTTTGTGATGCTTACATTGCACAGCTTCAGTGGTTCATCAGCTGGAGGAAGGAGACCACTACCCACATTTTTAAGTCAGATCAAGTTGCCAATAACACTGTATTGAACACATAACTTTATTTGGCTTTCCTACTTATCCTCTCCTTATTTACTTTAATAGCCATGCCTGCAAAGTATACATCTGCTTAAGTGCTGATGATGCATCAAAGAAAAGGAAAACAATCTTGACTGAAGATAAAATGGAAATAATAAAGCAATCAGAAAGATGTGAAACACTGTTGGTTATTGGAAAAGCAATATACTACTGGGCTGAAGAGAGGGAGAATCTCTTTGTGTGTATATGTTTGTAAGCATATAGTACTGTAAAAATATTAAAGAAACAGTTCTTAAGATTGTTTAGATAGAGAAAGAAAAGAAAAAATATTATGATTACAGGTTAACACTTAACTGTCATTCCATCAATTTCTTGAATACCAGAAGGGGCATTCATGAGGTAGCATTATGATAACACAAGCAGATTATCTTTCCCCACAGTACAGTACTATATGTAGTTACTTTTATTATTACTGTATAATTATTATTAACACCACTTGTTTATTACCACCGAAGAATCATCAGCAGTTGGAAAATATGACCTTGGTGATAGAAATGATGCTAGAGATTGCATGATAGAATTTTGCAAGACCAACATCTTATTCATTGCAAATACCTCTTTTCAATAACATAAATGGAAGCTATACACATAGACTTCACTAGATGGGATACACAGGAGTCATATGGACTACATCTATGGAAAGGGGCAATAGAGAAGCTCAGTATCTTCAGTAAATCAAGGCCAGAAACTGACTGTGGAATAGACCATAAATTGCTCAATAAAAGTTCAAGATGAAACTGCAGAAAATTAAAACAAGTCCACAAGAGCAAAAATATGACCTTGATTATATCCACCTGAATTTAAAGACCATTTGAAGAATATGATGCATTGAATACTAATGACTAAATACTAGACAAGTTGTGGGATGACATCAAATCAAGGCCATTATGCATAAAGAAAGTAAAATGTCATTAAAAAGGCAGGAAAGGAAGAAAACACGAAAACGAATGTCAGATGAGACTCTAAAACTTGCTCTTGAATGGAGAGTAACTAAAGCGAATGGAAGAAATGATGAAATAAAAGAGCTGGACAGAAGATTTCAAAGGGCAGCTCAAGAAGACAAAGTAAATTATTATAAAGAAATTTTCATAGACTTGGAGTTAGAAAACCTAAAGGGAAGATCACATTCAGTATTATTAAAGCGGAAAGAGCTGAAGAAAAAATTCGAGCCTCAAGTTGCCATATTGAAGGATTCTATGGGCCAAATATTGAATGATGCAGGAAGCATCGAAGGAAGATGGAGGGAATACACAGTCACTGTATCGAAAATAATTGATCCATGTTCAGCTATATCAAGAGGTAGCACATGATCAAGAAAGAATGGTACTGAAGAAACAATACCAAGCTGCACTGAAGGAAATGGCAAAAAAAAGAGAAGGCTCTAGGAATTGACTGAACAGCCACTGAGATGTTTCAACAAAGTGATACAGTGCTGGAGGTGCTTACTCATTTATGCCAAGAGCTTTGGAAGACAGCTACCTGGCTCACTGACTGGAAGAGATCGTTATTTGTGCCAATTCTAAAGAAAGGTGATCCAACAGAATGTGGGGATCATTGAACAATATCATTAATATCACATGCCAGTAAAATTTTGCTGGAGATAATTCAAAAATAGTTGCAGCAGTATATTGACAGGGAATTTCCAGAAATTCAAGCTGGATTCAGAAGAGGACATGGAACTAGGCATATCATTGCTGATATTAAATGGATCTTGGTTGAAAGCAGAGAATACCAGAAAGATGGTTATCTATATGTTTTATTGACTATGCAAAGGCATTCAACTGTGTGCATTGTAACAAATTATGGATAACATTGGGAAGAATGGGAATTCCAGAACATTTAATTTTGCTCATGAAGAACCTGTACATGGACCAAGAGGCAGACATTCGAACAGAACCATTGTTTAAAATCAGGAAGGATGTGTGTCAGGGTTGTATGCTTTCACCATACTTATTCAATGAGCAAATAATCCAAGAGGCTGGACTATATGAAAAAGAGCATGGCATCAGGATTGGAGGTAGATTGTAACAATAGGCAATATGCATATGATACAACCTTACTTTCTGAAAATGAAGATGACTTGAAGCACTTACCGATGAAGATCAAATACTACAGTTTTCAGTATGGATTACATCTTAATATAAAGAAAACAAAAATTCTCATAACTGTACCAATAAGCAATATCACAATAAATGGAGAAAATATTGAAGTTGTCAAAGATTCATTTTATTTGGATCCACAATCAACACGCATCTAAGCAGCAGTCAAGAAATCACTGGGCATATCTGAGGCAAAGACCCTTTAAAGTGTTAAAGAGCAACAAATGATGTCACTTTGAAAACTAAGGTGCACTTGACCCAAGTCATGGTATTTTTCAGTTGTCTCATATGAGTGTGAAAGCTAGACAATGAATAAGGAAAACCAGAGTAGATGTTTTAAATTGTGGTGTTGGTGAAGAATACTGAAAATACTATGGACTGCCAGAAGAACAAACAAGTCTGTCCTGGAAAAAATGCAGACAGAATGGTTTTTAGAAATAAGAATGGCCAGACCTTGTCTTAACTAATTTTGTCCTGTCAAACAGGACCATTCCCTAGAGAAGGATGTTTGGTACAGTCAAGAGTCAGCATAAAAGGGGAAAACGCTGGATGGATGGGTTGACACTATGGCTACAAGATTGGGCTCAAGCATCGCAAGGATGGTTTAGTGTATTTGGAAGTGTTTCCAAACTGTTTTATATACATTGTTGTTGTTGTGTGCCGTCGAGTCAAACCCGACTCATAGCGACACCTCCTTGGGTTTCCGAGGCAGTATCACTACGGAAGTAGGATTGCCCAACCTTCCTTCCGAGGAGTGGCTGGTGGGTTTGAACCGCCAGCCGTCTGGTTAGCAGGCAAGCATCTTAGCCACTATGCTACCAGATAGGAAGGTAAAATATAGACTATATAGTAATATAGACAAACATTTGACCAACTGACACTAAATAAAAACTGTTGCTAACTTACCTACAAATTCAACTTAAAAACAGACATAGCAATGGATCTTGTTTATAACTCAGGGACTGCCTGTACTTGCTTATTGAAGGGAAATAAAAAATATGGAAAATAAAAAAAAAAAAAAAGGGAGAAAAGTATCTCTATTTTCACCAGCCCAAAACATCTCTGTTTGCTATCTGTTGAAGGTATCTAAAGACATTTTATGCACACATACATGCCCATATCCATATGCAATACACATATGTTCCCTGGCTACTAAACATTGATAACCCTCTTTAGGCCATGTTCTTATTATTTTCTTCCATATATTTGCACTTCCAAAGCTGAAAAGAAATCTCTTAGGGAATTATTATAGGCTGGTGAATTGACTGAAAAGGTTGAAGGGTTTTTCTTTGCGCAGGTTTTGTTTTTATTCTTGTTTTGTTTCTGTTGTTCCCTATTCTGTTGATCAAGATCTTGTGGGTTTTCCAATATCAAAGCAGAGCATGGATGAGACAAGTTACATGTAGTAGATGGCAAAAATTACTTCAGTTGACTGCAGCTCCTCTCATTTTGAAATGAAATCCATTTCCCCACTTCTCAAATTTAATCTGGCCTTGTGACCTGTTTTGACCAATAGCATGTGGCAGAAGAGATACTCTAAGTGTTCTGAGCTTTCAGGAGACCCTGCAGGTTCTGTTCTTCCTACTGTTGGGCATCCTGTAATCATCACCGTGTGAACAAGCCCAAGATAGCCTGCTGGATGATGAGAGACTGGCCCAATTACCCTCATCACTCCAACTGACAGTCAAACAATGGCCAGACATGTGAGTGAGACCATAGTCACATGAGTGAGCCCAGCTGAGACCAGAAGAAAAAATACTTGGCTATACCCACCCCAAATTGCTGACCAACAGAATTTTGTTTAAATAAATGGCTGTTCTTTTAAACCATTAAGTTTTGGGATGGTTTGTTATGCAATAAAAAAATAACTGACATATCATATATATACTAAAAGGAAAAAAAAAAAAAGATTGCTGTTAAGTCGACTCTGACTCGTGCAACCCCTTTGTTGTAGAGTAGAATTGTTCCATAGCATTTTTAAGGCTGTGACCTTTTGGACAGATTGCCAGGCCTTTCCTCCATGCTATCTCTGGGTGCATTTGGTTAGTAGTTGAGCCATTAACTTTTGGGTCCACCCAGAAGACCTACTCTGAGATGGTTTGTTTCCTTCCTCTTGGACCAGAGCCTCCTGCTGGACTGTTTAAGCTAAAGAAGAACCAGGGTGCTGCTCCTCCAGGAAACCTGCTGAGCAAGTGGCTCTGAAGGGATTGTAAATCTGTATTAAGGCATTAGTGGGAATCCCTTTAGTTTCTGTGAAAACTTGAGAGTGTTTTGGACCAGGGCAATGGACCAGGAAGCAGAGTTAGGTATATGCCACTAAGGCAGTAGGAGAAGGAACATTTTCTATCTGGTGCTCAAGGTCCCAGGGCCCTGGGTGCCCTGAGCTCAGACTTTTCTGGGGTGAGCTCCTTACCTGAACCCTCTCCAGGATCACCTTTTGGACCCTTTGCTCCTGGCAACCCAGGATTCCCTGGGGTTCCTGGAGGTCCCACTTTTCCAGGAGGACCCTGCAAGCCTCTGAGCCCTTGGCCTATCGGGAAACAAAGGAAAAAGGACTCAGTATCTGTGTTTTTGCGCTCTTTCTCCAAGAACTTAATGTCCAATCCCTTGCCAGGAGAAAGGAGACATTGACTCAGGGACAACTTTTTTGAGTCACTGGTTCCAATGAGCTAGAGGTGGCCCACAGAAGAAAGATCCTTCTGTGTCACCTCCTTGGACAGGCAGAACAACCACATGTCACCAACTCGTGTGGAAGCCTGGAATGCCAGAGCACACGAGTCTTTTCTCTGAAGTTAAAACATATCGTTGACAGAAATGCAATCTGTCTAAATATGATCTGATACATAGGACATTGCTACCCTTAGAGCATCAGGAAATTTCTTCTGGAAGGTGGAGTCAGTGGGACAGGGTAACCCATCCCGTACCTGGTTCCCCCTTTTCTCCCTTGGCGCCCGGGAAGCCGTTCATGCCTGGGGAGCCACAGGCAACTACATGGTAGTTCTTCTGAACTTCTTCACAGATTTCTTTTACTGTACAAGATGCTGTTGTCACACTCAGGAGAACAAGAGGGAGTGAAGAAAACAGGAACATGGTCCTCACTTTTGGGTGGGGAAAGTAGAGGAAGATGATCATACCTAGTACAGTTAATCAGTGCATATTTACCAAACATGCCTTCAGTCCTATGACCTGCCCTGGGCAGAGATGTAGAGATGGTTGGCCCACCTCTGGCTCCCAGAGCAGCGAGGCTGTAACATTGTTACGAGTACTTTAACAAAGGCAGGCACAGCAGTATGCAGTGGGGACCACAGATAGGGAGAGAAAGGGTGCCCAGACCTTCTCTGGTATTACTGCTGGGAGACTGCCAGTATGCTCCTTGTGTCCTTGAGGGAAAAAAAAAAAAAAAAAAAAGAAGAAGCTACACAGTGAGTTACTCACAACTGTTGGTTTAGGACTAGGAGTGAATTAAAGATGTCTCTTGGAGACCTATCCTTTCCGGGCCTCTCTGCACTTGAATCTGTTTCCCACCTTCATATCCTGTTCCTCTCCAGGACCAGTCAACCGTCATTTACATACTGGCAGGCTCTAAGCTGCAAGCTGGAGTTCCAGAAAGGAAGAATGCAGATCCTGGTCGCAGATCAAGCCATCAGCTACTAGTCACCTAACTCAATCCAGAATGAATTTGAGCTTGTTTCCTCTGGATGTTTTATTTCTCACTGCAAGAGAGGCTTGTTTCCAAAGCATTTTCTCCAGAAATGTCTCATTACTCTGGCCCTGGCAGGGTGACAGTTTCCTCTCTCATTCCTGTTAGGAATTCCCTGTGTTCTATGAGTCAAAGACTTGAATTCTTCTCCAGTTTCTCATTTGACATTCCATCTATCCTTCAAAGCTCCCTTTCAGCTCTCTTCCCCAGGGAACCCCAGTGGCCCAGACCCATAGGCCTAGCCTTCCAAGGCACTTTTTGAAAACAAAGGCACAGTCTCATTTGCAAGTCTTCAGGTAGATCTAGGAATGTCACAAGTGCCCCAGCACAAGCAGAGAGAAACCCCTGCATGGCTTCTGCCTGCTATCCTCCCCGCCTTCACCCTCAATAACTCTCCTCTAAGCTTCCAAGTCAAGTTTCCAAACCCTTATTCTGGAACCCAAGATCCATGCACCACATATGACTTACTGGGGCTTCTGTAAATCAGGGATTCAGTGATGAGGAAGCTGGCCCTCCAATCTGGTGATGTGCCATATACTGCAGAGTGTGGGAGGAGGGTAGATTCAAACACTGTATGGCCCAATGAGCCTGGTTAACAGGGATAGCACTGGCCTGACCTTCAACCTCTAGATTAATAAATAACTCTTCAAACCAAAAAAAAAAAAAACAAACTCACTGTCATTGAGTTGATTCTGACTCACAGTGACCCCCTTTGGGTTTTCAAGGCAGTAAATCTTTAGTAGATTGCCCAGTCTTTCTTCCATGGAATAGCTGGTAGCTTTGAACTACCAACCTTCTGGTTAGCAGTCAAATGCCTTAGGCACTATACCACCAGAGCTTCTTAAATAACTCTTAGGACTGCACTAAACTCATCTTGAAAGAATTCCCCAGGGATCTCCTGCATAATATTTGACCACTGTCTGTTTTAATAGAGCACAATTCACTCATTTTGGCATTTCTCATTGCTGAGCCATAATAAATAGGCTGACTTGCTGATCATGTTGATGCCCTTGTTTCTAGCAGATATATATGTAAATATTTGTACAGACTCATGTATTTCAACCACACACACACACACACACACACACACTCATCCATGAAGGCATAGCAGACCCCTTACTATCTTTAGGACCCACTCCTGCCTCAGGTGCTACACTTGATGTTCTCTTGGCCTGGGTGTCCTTCTCCGGTGCACCTCTGGCTGGTTCTTTCTCTTCTACCCAAATATTCTTGTCTCCAAGCATCCTTTGGCTACTTTATCTAAAATAATCCCACCTAGCCACTCTTTATCCTCTTGGTTTGCTCTGTTTTCTGACTCTACATGATACACTACATGATATTATATCCTAGCCATTTACTTTTGTACTAATTTATTTTCTGCCTCTGCCCTTTAGAATGAAAGGTCTATGAGTACAGAACTGTATTCTCTCCTTGAACACATCCAGAAATATAGTAGGCTATTCATAAATTTGATTAAATTTTTAACATAAGATCTATGAATCCCCTTGAATAAACCAATTTAAAGATGTGCACACATCTCCACCTGCACACACACAAGTACCCTTCTCATTAGAAGCCTGATTGAAGTTGAGTTTTAACATCTTGAGGATCCTCTAGTTTGCTTCCTGAGATTGAAGCAGTCTCCCAATTTAATAGTTCTCTCCACAGAATATGGTTTCTCTCCTCACAATCACACAACCCCCAGGGATTTGTATAGAGATACCCTGGGTACCCAGATCATCCTGGTTTCAGTGGTCATTGGGACAGTCTAGAAGCATGGAACAATACCTGTATGAAGCACAATTCATTCCATTCAGAACGACTTCCAAACACCAGAAGAAATCTAGATGAGATGCCCTTCCTGGTCCCTTCTAAATGTACAGTCCTTGACTTGTGGAAAGAAGAATTTCCTTGCTTCCTGCTTACCGGTACCTGGGAAGGGCTCTTTATTAAGGCCAGGGCCTGAGGTAGGCAGGCCTGGAGCTGAGGGTTGCTTTTCACTTTGGGGTGGCTATTTATTAAGGCCAGGGAAATTCCCAAGGTGTTACAGAGCTACAAGCCTAGCCTAAAGCAAATAATGGAGACCAAGAAAGCCAGGGCCTTTAAAAGGCTGAAAAGAGACTCTCTTTCATCACACAGTGATGATGACCCATGGATTGTGGGTCCCAGAATAAGGGTTGGAAATGTGACTTGGCCCTGGAGGCTTAGAGGAGAGTTATTGAGGGTGGAGGCAGGGAGGATGGCAGGCAGGAGCCATGCAGGGGTATCTCTATCTATCTGTGTGTGTGTGTGTGTGTATGTGTGTGGGGGGAGACATCTCTCTTCTCTACTTTTTATCAATTAGAGCCATCCCCCAAAGTAACAGGAGATGAGGTGAGGCAGCTGGTTCTAGGCCATGCTAGACACTGGATTTAATCACAGTGTTTGCTTTCATTGTACATTTAGTCCAGAGGTCAGGAAACTGCCCTTCAGACCCTGACATTTCCTGGAATTGGATGAACATGTGGATGGGATGTCAATCTGCCAACTGAGCCACTGCCTCAGGTGCTGCCAGCTACGAGACCCTACCTGTCCTTCATGGTCTCCAGCAGGCCTCTCTCCACATGTGTCAGCCGGTTTACCCACCCTGAACTCTAACCCACAGATAAGGCCACTGTGTGTGCTTGTTCTAGGACATCAGTTCCTTTCTAGCACTACCTCCACTCGAGCACCCCTGCCAGATAGTACTTCACCCCAAGAGGCTGTAGAGATAGATTGCTGACTCTCTGACTTTAAAAGGAGTACCTGAATTTCCCATATTCTCTTTCTGGTAGCCCTGTTTTGGAATCCCAGCTCTTCCATGTCCTGGCTGTGTAACTCAGGTCAAGTTCTATCTCCTTGAGATCTTCAGTTTCCTCATCTGTGAAACAGTACATGACTGTCTTGGTCCAGACTCAGAGTGCATGGCAAACTGTTCACCATTTCAGCCTATTTAAGACTAGGCCCTGTATTCCCCTCAGGAAGACTGTATACTAGTCTTCTTACCTTGGGCAGCGGTTTATTGTGTGACTACATCTAGGAGGCACAGCTTGAGACTTAGAATCAAAAGGCATGGTTTATTTTATGGGTGTGAAGTTAGACAAAATCTAGAATGTAGCACAGATTCTGGCTGAGCCTCAACTTTTTATGTGGATAAAATAAGGTTTCAAGCCCCATCTGCTTCCCAAGGGGATGCTGTGAGTAGGAAAAAGACAGTAAATGGGATTGTCAGTACCCTCCAGGTAAAAACCACCAGGAACACATCTGAGTCAAACAAATGTGACTTTTAAAAAATAAGCTCCCCCACTTGTCACAACAAAGATATTGCATGTAATGGTGAACCATAGGACTTCTCAGTAACAGGTTATTAAGAGGGGATTTTTATGAGATGTGGCCCTGTGTTGTCTGGCTTGGTGGGATTTGTTAAGGAATGGGAGTCTATTCTGAATAGAGTGCTTGCTGTGCAGAAGCTGGAACAATTTTATGATTGAGTACATTAATAATTTTTATTTAAGAAGCGAGAGGAATGGAGCAAGGCTGAAGCAGTGTGAAGGAGCAGCAGATGCTGATGTTACTTCATTTTTGTGGTTTGATGAGTGACCTCTTTTAACTGTGTCCAGATATGATTTTGAAGTGATCTTTGAGTCTCATAAGAGAAGGTCTTGTTTTATGTTGGTGCTCTGTGAAATTGTTTATGATAAGCAGAAACACCAGGGTCTATCTGTGAAGATGAGCCAGCTCCCAGGTGACAGTTGTCAAGGTTTTTTCTTTGTCAGCAGTGTCCTTTATGACTCTAACACCTTACTTGCCCATACTTCCCATCCCACATTGCCCTGGGTTTCTAGTCATACTTTTTTTTTTTTAACTTTGATTGTAGTGAAAACCTATACAACAAGACTTTCACCAACATAACCACTTCCATATTTATAGTCAGGGACATTGATGACATTTTTCATGTCATGCCACCATTATTGCTATCCTTTTCCAAAATATTCCACTACCATTAACCATTACCATAAACTCAATGCCCCACAAACAAAAGCTTCCCCTTTCCCCCTTCTTCCTACCCTGGTAACTACTAGTAATCTTTGATGTAGAAATAGATATATATGTATTTTTTTTTCAACTTATCTAGGAATTTACCCCCACCTTCCATCCCTAGTAACCAACAAAGAAAATTTCCTTCCATGTTTAAACCTTTCATTGACTTTTTACAATAGTGGATTAATTCAATATTTGTGCTTCTGTGATTGACTTATTTGACTCAGCATAATGTCCTCCAAGTTCATCCATGTTATGTAATGTTTTGCAGATTCTATATTATTATTTTACTGTGATTTGGATGAAAGTTTACAGAGAAAGTTCACTTTCC